GTATAATAATTTATATATATATATATATATTTTTTTTTTTTTTAAAGCGCTGCTTGCACTTGCTTAGAATAATTGGACTATATTTAAATCCCTTGTGTTAATTCGTAACCTTCCAATCACCACCGAAGTGATTTTTTTGTTGTTGTTGTTTTTTATGAACATAGCTTGATCTCAGCCAGTTGATCGTGTATTTAGTCAACACATGTCATATCACCCTAATTTCTCATGCTCATATGCTCACATTACTCAGCGTGAGCACATATTCAAGCGGATCAGAAATTATGAATCTTTAGTAAGTATTGAGTGGCAGTCCAGCAGGGGAAGCATACACCCTGCAGAAATACTTTTGAATGACTGTCATTGATATTACATTCTTATATGTATAGAAGCCATTAGGAGCGATAAACGCGTGCTTCTGACGCAGCTGAAATCAACCGCACACTTGCACAGCTAATGAAAACATCAACCTTAGAAATAAACAACCGTAACATTGAGATTATGCCGCTGAATACAGCGAACCCCAGTTGAAACGCATACACGAGAATGCTTGTTTCATTTAAACTTGTTCTCATGGCCTTAACTATCGGCGTGAGAGCGATTAAGTTACATGATCTAGACTACGTGTTGCTCCAGCTGTATGAACACTTAACTATCGGCGTGTCCTCAGAGCGATTACATGCTCTAGACTACGTGTTGCTCCAGCTGTATGAACACAGATGCGTAAATGCTGCTGCAAATATGCTTAATATTTCGCTCCTGCAAACGATGCAAAACTGCTAACATCTTTTTTTTTTTTTAAATTAGCAGACCAGGTAATATACACAGCGATATGGATTAAAACAGCATTCACTTATCTTAATGTGGATTTCAGATGTTCTGAAAAACACTGCAACAGTTTGATTTGCGAGCAGGGATGTTTAATTTGCTCCTGAGCAAGCTGAAAAGCTGCTGAATAATACTGAATAGAGCTTATATAGGAATGCCGCGATAGGTGTCGTATTCCTATAGGTAGATGTGATCAGCTGAGAATCAGCTGATGCAAGCTTGACTCACGTGACCTGCCAGAACTAACGCTAACGCTTAATTTAATATGAAATGTAGTGCAGTAAATAGTACAATATTATGCTTTGGAATGTTGTGAAGGAAAAGTTTTCTAAAGAAAACACTGATAAAGTACAGACACTTGAAAAGTACTTTTACAGCAGAGTAAAAATACTTCACTACTGTCCGCCTCTGCCCCCGACTAAAGATTTTTCTAGTCAACAAGTAGTCGACTAATCACATGTTTATATTAATTTAATTGATTAAATATTTACTGGGGGGTAGGCAACTAAACCATAATGAGGTTTTAATATATAGCCTGTTCCACACTCAAGCGCACACCTAAAGCTTGCCACAAAGCACCAGCAAACGTAACGAGTTGTTGGGAAAAATAGCAAGGAGATATTTTAATTATTTTTTAATAATAGTGGTTTCTGAGTCAGTGTCCACTGCAAAGACGAAGTTAGTCTCCGCAGTACAGTGACACAAGAGAAATTCACCTCTCATATGGATTACATAATCCGAGAGTATTTGTTTTCGCCCTATATTATATATTACTGTATAATTACAGTTACTGCAATTAACACTGTTTGGAAAGTGTAGATAGGGGTGTGGACTACATAGAGATAACTTTTTTTTCTTTCATTTAACTAATTTAAATTGTTCATAGAATCGTTATGGGACTGGAATCATTAAATTCCTTACGATGCATCAGCAGGGAAGTAGCATCCAGCACTTATCGATATAAATAAAAGCTCGAGTTCTTTGAGGAATTGTGTAGAAATCTACATTTGAACCGCTTATTAAAGCCCAAATATGTTTTTCCTTCTAGTATTCATGAACCACTCTAGAACATGTTTTTTTTTTTTTTTTAGGGGCATTATAATTCTGGTGGAATTAATGCACTTAATCTGCAGGGTTTCAAATTCCTTGGCAGTTGTATATTCATGTAGACTAATCAGGGCATATGTTTAACAGTTGTTATTATGAGCTGTAAATGTTACAAGGCCAAACCTGGCATCTACATTGTTCAACATTAATTTTAAAAGAATAGCAGGATTCAATGTTGTTGGAATCACTATCAGAACGATTTTTCCAAGCTGATGGACAATAAAAACATTGACAGCCAATCCATCCTGCTTTAAAGAAGCTTTAAAGCGTCAAATGACAAAACTGTAGCAACAGAACAATATCATGCATTGGTGTGGATGCTGTTATAGTTGTTGGTATAGTTATCATTCTTGGTTTGAACAGGTCAGTTGTGGTATTGTTTTAGAATTGTACTTTATAATGTTGTTGTTTTTTTCATGAAGACCATCTATGAGAACAGGATGTACAGCCTAAGAGTAGAATGTGGACCAAGATATCCAGAAACGCCTCCTTTTGTTCGTTTTGTGACAAAGATCAACCTGAATGGAGTGCATAACTCAAATGGTGTGGTAAGTTCAACTGAGTACTGAATATTCAAGTTCTTCCTCATCTGCTGCTTTTATCATGTGCATTATATGTCTCATTAGGACCTTCATAATTCCTTTGTTTACCATATTGTCTGTCTACACTTTGATAGAAGGTATCTTCTGAATTGCTAATGAAACTGAACCTGCCTGAAATGTTCACAACCTGAAACTTAAAGACAACCCAAATATTTCAGTGTTTAATACGAATGAAGAGTCCCCCCCCCACCTGTTCACAACTAAGTAATGCCAGAGAAACTTTATAAAATGTTGTCAGTTTCATTTTCCTGTTGAGTTGTTAGAATATGCCACCAATTACTCCACTCAACTAGGAATGCAGTAAACCAGATAAAGGTTATTTTGCAGGGACCAGTCTTTTATCAAATTACATTTTAACACTGCACTTGTTTCAGACTACATTTCATACTGCAGTAATTCAAATATACACAACACATTTATACAAGTACAATACAAGTTTTCAGTTGCGTTCCTGCTAAGTGTGAGTGTGTTTCTTCCCATTCACGTCTCACTCTGGTGCCATAACCTGCTTTTTCACATAAGTCGTCCGATCTCATCTTGTTGCATTTGAGACAGCAGGCAAAAGGAGTGTTTTCCCTGTGCTGTCACATACATTGAGAATGTCTAACCTCTTCCTGTGCAAACACCAGTATCTTCCCACCCGCATTCAGCAATTAAAACTTGTCTGGAGCCACATTTAGCTGTGTCAGGAATGCAGACCTCTGGCCCAGGCAGTTCAACTCTGGTCTGGAGGGCCACTGATTAGCTCCAACCCTAATCAAACTCAACTAACCAATCTGATCAAGGTCTTAAAGGGATCATATGACATTGCTAAAAAGAACATTATTTTGTGTATTTGGTGTAATGCAATGTGTTTATGAGGTTTAAGGTTCAAAAAACACATTATTTTCCACATAATGTACATTATAAGTGAAGTGAAGTGACATGTGGCCAAGTATGGTGACCCATACTCGGAATTAGTGCTCTGCATTTATCCCATCCAAAGTGCTCACACACAGCAGTGAACACACAAACACCGTGAACACACACCCGGAGCAGTGGGCAGCCACTGCTTTTTTGGCTGCGGCGCCCGGAGAGCAGTTGGGGGTTCGGTGCCTTGCTCAAGGGCACCTCAGTCGTGGTATTGAAGGTGGGAGTTAATTATTGTTTCTCCTCTATGCCCCGCCTTTCTGAAACGCATCGATTTTTACAAAGCTCATCGGTCTGAAAAGAGAGGTGTGCTCTGATTGGCCAGCTATCCAGTGCGTTGTGATTGGCCGAATACCTCAAGCATGTGACGGAAATGTTAAATATCTTACCATACTGTGATGCCGTGTCCTGTTTAACTTTTATAAAGAATATCTCTTTGGATTTGAGACTTTAGTCTTTGCAACTTTACAGATCTTCTTTATGCACCAAGAGCTTGTAACACTCCAAAGAAAAAGAAAAAATTGAAATCGCATCATATGACCCCTTTAATTACAGACAAGTGTGTTTGATTAAGGTTTGAGCTAAAGCTCTGCAGTCAGCTTACAGTACTTCTGGGAAACGCAGCCCTGAGATGTGAAGTAACATTTGGTAGTTTTTAAGTAAATTCTCTAAATATTGTATTGAAGATTCACTTTCCAATTTGCTACCTTGTCACAATTTGGTGAACCAAGTAGCCAGGCCATTTATATATGCTGGTAAAAAATCTTTATTTTTAAAGTGAGGTAGGGATGCATGATAATATCGGGCCGATATCGGAATCGGCCGATAATGGCTTTAAATGTACGTATCGGCATCGGCCCGATATGAAAAATTATGCCGATATGTCTTGCCGATAAGAGGAATATACATGAACTCACATGTGCTCATGGGTATGCTAGCGATTAGATCACGTCAGCAGTGTGGCTCATTCTTGAAGCAAAGTTTTGCCTGAATGATGATTAGATTCATGGTTTTGGATCGCTGCATTTAAACTGAGAATGCACGTACAGAATGACCCGTTCATGTGTGATAGAGTAAACAGTAATAGCACGTGCAGCGGCAGCCTCCCCCGGGTCCTAGTGCCTGTTCAGTAAGGAGTTTTAATTCCGTAGGGGGTGCTGTTGGCCTACTTCTAATAAAATTAATGTAAAATACACAAATAACATTTAGACTGTGTTTCTGATTAAATAAAGCAGTACTTGATGTCATAATATGATGAGCATGGCCGGACTTACCATTGGGCTTGAATGGGCTGCAGCCCAGGGGCCCCGCCTTGACCTGTTTACATTTGTTCAGTTATGTGCCAGTCAGAAATTATTAGCCGCATTTCAACTGCGCACACGGGCCAGACGAGGCTAACAACTTCCAGCTTCCAACTACGACATTTGAAGCCATAATCAAACAGCATAAACTGAAATTTATTTATTTTTTTCACATAGAAAAAGGACACGTATTAAATCACGTCTGCGCTGCGCCGAATCGCCGATTAATTTGTGATCACATGGCTACTTTAAACGGTTCCATTAAGCCTTTAGCCCAAAAGAGCGCACATTTACAAAGATAATGATAAATTCTCACATGTTCACGCCTCACTTCTTTACAGAGGATGATTCTATATTATATTAATGTTCCACTAAATTAATCTGAAGAGTTTTGAGCGATCTCTCCCGTCCAAAGACTATAGAAT